GGACGCAACAGATGCTCCCCTCTGCCCCTTCTCCAGGGAAGGACCCAAAACCACCTCCTCAGACAGGGTGGGCAGGGCACGGCTGAGGTGGGGCAGGCTCCACCAGCCCTACAAGAAACCCCCATAGCCTGGCGGGGGGTAGCACAAAATGTCCGTCCCACACCAAGCCACCCTGAGGAGGTTCCCTCCTGCTCAGACGGTGGGACAGCAGCAAGCTGGCTCCAGCAAGAGGACACAATTCCATGAGGCTCTTCTTGACTTCATCTTGTGTGGAGGGAGGTGGTGATGGTAGAAGGGATATTTTCCAGGCTTCTGGAGGCTGTGTGTCCTTCCTGATGTAGCTGAGCTTTCCAGTCAGCAATAAGCATGGCAAATGTTCTTTTGGGGCCCTGGGTCCAGCTCCTACCTATATAGCAGCTGCCCACCCTGTACCACTGAGCTCTGCCCTACAGAGAGGGCTCACAGCTCATCATGAAGTCTGCCTAGATTTTTTTTCTCCAGGCACTGCTGACTTACTCTCCACCTCCTCTCAGAGAGCCCTCATCCCTGCACTCAATCCTTTTCCTTGCTGTTCCCTTTGTCCTTTTATCATCCCATTCTTTCCACTGTAGCCATTTCTTCCCCAGGTCCTTTCAGCCTGTCCCTCTTCTACACCTTTTCCATCTCCCTCTACCTGTTACCTCCTTGTCTCACCACTCCTTGGTCCCACCATACCTTATTCATCCCTACTGTGTCTGCCCCTCGTCTCTTTCTCAGCTCCTTTTCCACCTTCCTCCTGCATCTTCTCCTCCTTCCTTCAAGCCTGCCAGGCAGAGCCTCCTCCAGCCAAGAAGGCTGATTAGCATTGCAAACACACTGAGGCCTCCTCAGCCCGACATAATTCTTCATTTGTCAGTCATGAATATTTCACACCTGCCTCAAGAGGGATTTATTCAGTATGGAAGAGTGGGGAGGGGGAGAAGGGAACATGGTACTGCAGCATAAACTGGGGCAGCACCAGCAGATATGGGAAAGAGCACTGCCCCACAGGAACAGCATGCTCAGCTAGAGTCTCACCTTCTCTCTCCTGGGTGCAGGACCCCAGCCCAGGCTCCTCCCCAAGGCTGTTCTTGGGGCTAGAGGGCAGGTCTGCATCCAATCTCATTCCTCACCCTCCACAATTACTAGTGAGATGAACTAAGCCCCTGTTTTCTCTGCGAGTATTCACCAAGCCAGAAATAAAGTGTGAAATGTTTTGGTCTTGGTTTGGCCCCAGAAGCCCACTTTCCCCTAGGAGAAGGCAGCACTGAGGGACTTGCCAAAGCCAAGCCCTAGAGGCCTTAGAAACTTCAGGCAGTCTCTCCACACTTTTTCCCAACAAAGAGGTTTTTGAGGCCCTGCCCTCTGTCAGGCCAGCCAGAGTAGAGAATGCATAGGATAAACCTAATCCAGAGGTCTACACAGCCAACAAGAGGAAGGTGGTGGGAGATCTTCCAAGTAATTGCAATCAGCTGCACATCAAGTTTTCACTGTATCAGATGTTTCCCTTCAGCTAAAGCACTCCACATTCCCTCTAGAATAACCTTGCTTTTTGGGAAAGAGCAACCAGGGCAAAGGGAGGGCAGTGACGATTTCTCTTACAACATCTATCTTGACAGGCCTCACTCCTGTTCCTCAATAACAAGGAGAGACAATGGCCACCAGAAAGAGCAGGCCTTTGGTACATAACACCTACCCCTTTACACACATGACTGTGAAAAGCAGCTGAGAGACCACGTTTGGAGCACGGGAAAGGGGGACACTGGAAAGAAGAAGGAATAAGGTTTATGGGGTGATTGGTTTGGGTTCTCCTTGGGGTATGTTCCCTCTCAAACTGGTAGGAGTCTCTCATAAAATCACATCAGGGATCAATGAAAGGAGCAGAGAAAACAGGGACAAGGACAGGAAAGACTTGGAGGGAGGAGGTTAAATTCCAACAAACTGGCACATACACAACAGGTGTTTGCTCAGAAAAATACAGTAAAATTGTCATGCAAATAGAACGTTAAATCTGCTTTCCTCCAACAGGGCTGGCATCACTTTGTGAGCCCTCATCCTGAGGGAGGGGGCAGGACAAAGAAGAAGGGAGGAGGAAGGAAGGTGAGACACTTTGTTCCCCTTCCTTGCCCTCTTCCTCCCACAGAACAGTCCATCTTGTGCAAACTTCATCCAATGGTTTGAAATGGGGGGCTACAGCTGGGAGAGAAATGGCTTTTCCCTCCTATCCAGCCTTACCCCCACTTGAGAAAATAGAAGGGCCTGATGATAGCTGTATCCCTGACCTTTCTTTTCTATCTTGTTGAGGTGTTGAGGAGAAAAAGCAAAAACCCTTACAGGTTAATGCTCCCCCTTAAAGTATTGACTGAGCAGAACTGTTTACAAGACCACACAGCAGAGAAGCACAGGGAGGGAAGAGCTGGGGAGAGGAACAAGACTCCATCCCCCCTAGCCTGTCATCCCCCTTTTTCTGTCCAATTCTGTGCCCCAGCCACTGGTCTTTTCTGCCTGGATGGTTGCCCTGCTGGAAGACCACTGAGCCTGCTCCATGTGGTAGCTGGGGAGGTCCCTAAGCATCTCTCACAGCATTTACCTGTCTTGGTTTGCTGCATGGTCCCAGCATGGAGGTACACTTGCCAGCAGTGATTGACTTCCCTTTGTGACTTCCCTTCACCCTCCTGCACACAGGTGCACATACACAGGTGCACACACATCCCTTCCTCTGGGTTGGTTTGGCTCTTACCATGTGGAGTCAGTCCCACAAACACCTCTGGACTCAAGGCAAAATAAGGCTTTGACTGTGGGAAAGCAGACTGACAGTGAAAAGTCTGAGGCAATGGGGTCAGGACCTGGCTTAGGACTGTTACCATCAGCATCCCTACAAGGAAGAAACTCCACAGATCTTCATAGGTTTACACTTTGGGGATACCTGCTCTGGTTTTCATGCACCAGACTCTGCCTACTGCTCCACCTCACTTACAGAAGGTGAAATTGTCATGTGTGGCATAGAAGCCAGCTCTCATAGCTGGCATTGCTACTACCTGGCAGATAACAAGCAAGTTCTCAGCATGCAGCACAAAAATCCCTCCTAGAGAAGCTTCTACATCCTCATCCTTCTTCCAGGGCCCTCTAAAACACTGGGTCTTCTGAGGAGCACCTCAAAGAGAAATAACTACTTAGGGAGGACCAACATAACATAGGCCCTCACCCTCATCCTGACAGAGGTGATCTATGGTCAAGTGTTGGGCAGATCATGGAGAGGAGGCTCACTGTGCTGCATGAAGACGTGTTCAGCAGGCAGCACTCCTGCCTGACAGAAAAATAGTGGGGGAGGTGGTGCCAAGATTGTGCTTTATTGGGTTGCTCAAAAATGGGAATAGGTGGAGAGGGCAGTAGGCTCATTGCCAATTCTGTGACAGATCTTCTATGCAAGAGGCAGAGGTTGCGACCTAGCAAGTGCAACTAGGATTTTGTCAAGACATGACAGGATCCCTAAGAAAAGTTTGTCACACCTGTGAGGATTAGGAGATGATATGTTGTTCTCACTGTCAGGAGGGCATCTAAGTAGTCAAAGGAACACTGCCATCCAGACACTGGTGTCCTTTTCCAGCCTGGCACGCACAGTGCAGCTTCACACACAAAGGGAGCTTCTTCCAGGCCATCCTTCTTGGGCTACTCCCAGGCCCCATTTTCACATCCCATTTGTTCCCTGTGCTCCTGTCTTCACCCTAGGCTGTTCCCTATCCATGCCAGCATGTCCATAGCCTATACAAGAGAAAGACTCTTTGTGAGGCCAACCCAATGAGATGAGCAACTGAAATCCTGTTCTTCACATTCACCTGGAACTGAGGAGGTTGGATGATGCTCTTCTCATGGACACCCACCCCACAGCCCCTGGTGAAAATCAGTTGCGAAGAGCTGCAGAAGGTTAATGGAGAACTTGTTCTGCTGAGGTCCTCTCCAGGTCCCTTCCTCATAGTAAGGGGGACATGAACAGGGAGTATTAAACTGAATAAAATAAATACTGTGAGTATTAAACACAAGGGCAGCCTGAGCGTGAGGGGTGAGGAGGACCTCTGACCTGTAACGCTTGTGGAGAGATGGGAACCCCATACACCTCTGATACACCAGACCTTCCTGCCTTTTCCTCCACCACTCCTTGAGGAGTCAAGGCTTTCTTTGGCTTGTCATGCCAAAGAAAACATTCACAACCTGTTTCTCCCCACTAACTGGCAGAAAACTTGCTCTGAGAAGGCCTGAAGAATGCCTGTACCTCCAGATTGCTGGTGTTCATCAGCAGCAACCTGGCAGGAGAAGGGAAGGAGGAGGAAGAGTAGCAAGGGCACAGAGCCTGTTATACGGCAGGTCCTACCTGCCTTGGTCCTTCACATCTCTTCTCCTTCCTCTGAGGAGGACAGAGGTTTGTGAAGTATCTAGACAGGCAGTTCAAGCCTAGGGATCCTTAACAGAGAGGGATAGGGAAGGGCAAAGAAAAAGAAGGGAGACAACTTCTTCCAGCAATTCCCACCTTTTTTGGAAGGGGAAGGGGACTGGAGAAAGAGAAAAGCCTCCACTGCTAAAGAAAATGAGGGAAAAAGTTAGTGATGGAAAATTTGGCATAGCAGGTGTACAAGGTGGACAAGGAAGCTTTCTTAACCAAGGTCCTTCCCTCCCACCCAAAAGAAAAATCAGCCTTCAACAGGAACAGAAAGATGAATAGTTCACAGCTGAGTTTCATGCCCAGTGAGTGTCCATCTCTGCCCTTCTCCTACCACCACTGCCACCCACTCCCAGGCCATTCCCCACAGTGTCAGTGCAGGGCGCTCCTCCCAACCATCTGTGGGCAGAACAATGGTCCCCGTAACACAGTAGAGACAATTCGGTGTGTGTGTGTGTGTGTCAGTGTGTGTGTCTGTGTGTGTAAGAGTTGTTGTAAACTTTAAGAAAAGGTTTTGTCAGTTTTATATTTGTCAGGAGTATTTTGTTGTTGGTTTATTTTTCACAGTCAAGTGGCTTTTTTTTTTCTGGTTGTTGGAGGGGGGGGTCTTGGTTTGTATTGTTTCCTTGTGAGGAAGAGTCACAGCTTCTGCTGAGCAGAGACTCCTTTCCAGTAATCCAGGATGTCATGCAGATCCTCGTCCTTGGCAAATTGAACTTTCTTCCGCAGGGCATGCCCAGCTGCCATGTAAACCTCCTCCCTGTGATGCTTCTTGTAAGGCCGGAATCGCTCCCAGATCTTGTGGGTGCTCTCTGAGGAGTACTCGGGGCTGGAAGAGTAGCCCGAGAAGTAGTGTCTGGGGGACAGCTGGGAGTACGTGGAGTCTCGCTTGGACCGGGACAGTGGCTTGAGGAATGACACCCGCTGGCTCAGGGTGTCAGCACTTTCCTCATAGTACAGGGCCGGGAAGGAGTGACGGTGCTCACTGCAATGGTAAGAAGGCTTGACCTCCAAGTGGTGGATGGCGCTTGGAGACACCAAGGGAAGACGATCCAAAGGGCTGTTTAGTGGGCTGCCCTTCTCAATGTATTTGGAGTCAGACTTGCTGAGTGGTGGGTGGTCAGGCACATCCAAGCTGAAGACCTTGGCGCTCTTGATGGAGCCACTAGAGGAGATGCTGCAGGTCTTTCTGGCCACCGCAGCATCAGCACTGAGCTGGCGCTGCAAAGGGTGGTGGGAGCTTTCCTTGTAGGGTGGGGAAAGAAAGCTGGGCCGCTCTAGCCCACTTGAGGAACCGGCTGGGATGGACTGGCACTCAAAGGCCATATCTGAGTCAACACCAGTCCCACCACCCAGGAAAGATGCTGTGTCCAGCTTGAGGGCATCAATACAGTTGTTGATGATCTGGTTGACCTTGTCTACCTCCTTGGCTATAGTAGAGATCTCAGCAGCTGAGCCTTGCCCATTGTCAAGCTCCCTCAGGTCCTCATCTCGCTGGGTTCTCTCCAGCCCATCCCCACCACCTGTCCGCACCTCAATGTAGTTACCTTTAGTGGTGACTTTAGGAGTCTCCATCCCAGCATCCATTGACTTTGACGGGGGCAACTTCTCCCCAATCATGGAAGGGATGGAGGACATCCGTGAGACAGGAATGACAGGTGGCTCACCCAGCTTCTGGGAAGGGTGAACCATGGTACTGGTATCAATATCTGATCCATAACGCATTTCTAGAATGGTCTTTTTGACATTGAGTGACTTCTGTTTCTCCTCCTGCATCCTCCGCTTCCGCAGGCAGTAGTACACCACCCCCAGGACAATGACCATCCCAAAAAGGCAACCCAGGGTGGTCATAATATAGTGTGTAGTGGTGGAAGTACTGGAAATAGGATCCTCCCTGCCTTTGCTCCGGGTTGCAAAGGTCAGGCAAGTATGGTTGTAACGCCTGTTGTTGCGGATAGAGGCCACACAGAATGTATAATCAGTGTGGGCCTTCAGCTTGTTGACAGTGACATATTCCTTCTTGCTCTTCAGTGTTGCTATGTCAGAAACGTAGCTGTTGTTGTATTGGACCAACACATACATCTTACTGTAGGGCATGGGGATGGTGACCATCAGGATGGCTGAAGTGATTGTGACATCATGTAGCTTGATGCTGGGACTGAAGGAGGAGTCAGTGGTGGAAGAGGCTGGAGGCTTGACTGAGAGGAAATCCCCAGGGCTGATGGCTGACCCCTCATCCAGATCTCGCTGGGAGTCAGGGGTGTAAGGAGTTGGGTTGACCCTGGAGAGAGAGGGGATGGTGCCTCCTCTGCACATGGACTGGAAGATGGTGATGGCATTGCGGTTGTGGTGAGGCCGAGGCACCAGAAGCGGATACCCAGCAAACTCCCGTGGAGTCTCACACTGGAGGCGGTCATAGTTCTTGGTGACGTTGTTGAAGAGAGCCAGCCAGTTAAGAAAGCCGTAGAGGCTACAGTCACAGTTGAAGGGGTTGCCAGCCAGCTCGCACACCATCAGGTTGCTCAAGCTGGTGAAAGTGTTGCCCTCCAGACGGCTGAGGCGGTTGGATGACAGATCAATGCTAATCAAGCTGGGGCACTCAGAGAAGGCAGTGGGGGTGACCAGCTCTATTAGGTTATGCTGCACAAAGAGGAACTGGAGGCGGGCCATGCCCCGCAACATGCCCTCTGTCAGGTTGGTGAGTTTGTTGTAGCCCAGCTGCAGGACCTGGAGGTTTGACTGACCCATGAAAGCCCCATCCTCAATGTAGGAGATCTCATTCTTGGTCAGGTTCAAATCAGTCAGGTTGCCGAAGCGGTTGAGGGAGGAGTACAGCACCACCTTGAGCTTGTTCTCGTTCAGACGCAAGTCGTGCACTGTGCTGTTGATGTGCTGGGGGATGGTCTCATACGGGGGCTGGTTCTGGCTGCAGATGGCCAGCCACACATACCCTTTGTCCCCCTCAATCAGCCAGCAGTCACCTCGCACAGTGCCAGGGGAAAACAAGCAGAGCAGGGCAGCTGCCCACAACCCCAGGCACAGCATGGTCTGCAGTGGTGCCCTCATCAGGATGGGGGAAAATAAAACCCCAACAAAAAACAACGCCAAATCTCAGGACAATGGCAAAAAGAAACTAGGGGGCAAGAACTGGGATTCAACAATGGAAGGGAATGAACACCGCAGTCCTATCAGATGTCATCACCATTATTTCTTCTTGCCCTCTGGGTCAAGCCAGGAGCATAGAGGAGGGGGAACACATGCAATATTCTTCCAGAACACTCAAAAGCTATGACCATGGATGTTTGGTCTGGAAGGGAACTACCTTGTGCTTCTTTTCTAAACAAAAATTCAGGCCGAGGATAATGAATCTTCTTTGATGCTCATGAGCGACTCACACACTTTTTCCCCTTTTCACCCACACCAAACCCACCCCAAAACAAACCCAAGTCCTCCCCCTCTAGTCTTCCCCCGCCCCTCCACAGTGTGATTTGGAAGAACAAGGCAGGGCTGCCTCCTGTGACGCTCACGCTCCCTTGATTTCTACTCCTTCTCTTCCTTCTTTCCTAGGTTCCCTCTGAGAAGCTTCAGAGCTTTGGATCAAACATGTCGAAAACAAAAATACAGAGAAGGAAAGAGCAAGTGTGCACGAGAGAGATCCATCTGTCACTGGAATCTGGAAAAGAAAACACAAAAGACATGAAGAGGCATCATTTGGAAGGGTCTTTGAAACAAGTGTATAGACAGCAATGTTTCATGAGAGGAGGGAGATGGGGAAGAGACACTTTAAGGGGGGTGCAAGCAAGAGAGGTGTGGTACTGCCTGCCGTGCTGATAAGCCTTTGAGGAGGGAACCCTCATGATGTAGAATGTCATATCAGGGATATGCAGAAGGGTATCTGGGCTCCCTTAAGTAGTGTGATCACAGCCAGGGACCCGAGGGAAGGCAGTGGTGTGGGAGTAGAAGAGGAAGGGAAAGGAGAGTGGGAAACATAAAGCTGTTATTGCGGGGGCTGAAAACCCCTAGTGTAAACAAAGGCAAGCCCCAAGCACAGCCAAAGCCATGAATTTTCAGCTGCCTGGAAGTGATGTACACAGAATGCATGAAGCAGGGAAAATGCAGACAAGCTTCTCCCCCCAACCCCCCCAAAAAAGCCAAACATTTTTTTCCTTTCCTTCCTTCCTTGATGCAAGAGGGATAAATAATTCAAACCACGTGTAACCACTTCTGCTCTAAAAATTGTTCCTGACTCTCGGTGCATGGACAAGGCTGTTGAGGTGAACCAGTCTGGCTTGCACACAGTGAGGGGGTGGGGAGCAGGCAGTGTGTCAAATACCAGCCTCCAGTCTCTCACCCAACAATGCCAGAACTCCTAATCTGAAGCACAACACCCATCTACCCCCCATCAAAGAGTGGTGCACAGTTTACAGCTTTGAGCTTTACTACCTCTCTTGGGGGCTATGAACACTGCCCCTTTGTACGAAAACACACCTTGCAGACAAAGTGACATTTGCCTGTTAAACCACAACAAATGTATTTCTGGGCTCTGGGCAAGCTCCTGGTTCTGACTGCGAAACACAGCCTGGAGCACCTTTCTCTCCAGCTACAGCTTCAACCCTTCTCCCACTGTGCTGAGACAGGAGCCTGGCAGGAGTGTCCTCAGGCAGCACAGAGGAAATAATTTCATACAGTAGATAAAACATGTGACCACTGTGCTATATCTTTTTTTTTTTCTTTTTTTTTTTTTTTTTTTTTTTTTTTTTTTAATTTTGAGGAGAAAGGAAACACTAAAAAAACAGAGAAAAGGATTATGGGTTAATGAAAAATAAAGATCCCCTCTTGCCCCTTTTATTTTGGGGGGAGGCTGCTCACTAAAGATATCACTGAAGCTTTTGCTGCAAAAGCTGAACCAATTTCTAGCACAGAGACACAAAGGGCAGAAATAAAATGAAGGAAGATAAATGAAGGAGGAGTGAACCCTTGAGGAACAAGGCTTACGTCTGTGGAGAAATCTGAGCTGATTTGGGTCTGTGGAATTACCAGGCCAGCTGGATTAAGGGATCAGAGATAGTGTCACAGAGAAACACTTAAATATTCAATAATCCAAAAAGTAAAGCCAAGACAGAGAAGGGAAGGGGGAGAAGAGCTACACCAATGGAAAAGACAGAGAAAAAGCCTCCATTCTCCACAGCTCATCATCTGAGACCATCAGACTCATGTCACTTATGATTGTCATATGATGGCCTTCAGCTGCTGCCTCAGCTTTACCTCAGCCAGCAATGAAGCAGAAGGCAGAGGTGTTTACAGTCTGTTGATTTGTTTCTCAGCCTTGTAATCCAATGAGAAATAATTTTCTGACACTGTTTCCCCTGATGCCTCAGCTAGGAGGCACATCTGGCTCTCCACAGGTTGGGACCCACAGGCCTCTGATATTCCTCAGCACCAGTCCCCTGCCTTGTTCCACCATTTCCAGAGTTGACTCCATGAAGAGACACAGCCAATTCCCCACACCATCTCTGTCCCTTCACCTTCCTCTCTAATGTTCCTTCACTTTGCCTGATTTCTTCCACTAAACAAAGGAATGGCAGATACTATCATGCTTTTTGCACTTTGGTGCCCAAAGTATGTCTACCCAGGCAGAGGCCAGGGGCACCCCCTGAGCAAGCAGTGGAAAGATTTAGAGATTAGAGATTTTAGCCACCATCCTTCTCTGACCATTATGTTCTGGCCTGCCTGCCTCACCTCACCAATTAGTCTGCACAATATCCAGCTCCATACAGGAACATCCCAGCCCACTTGCTTTGACCCCTTCTGGTAGGGCAGACTGCTCCAAAAGGTGTGCTGAAGTCACCATTCCCTGCTGTAGCTTGTTCATGGTGCACATGCACAGAAAGAAACTCTTGCCCAGGACCATGTTCCTCTGCAGCAACCCCAGCAATCCCTGAGAGCCAGCCCATCCCACTCAAGGAGCTGCACTCAGGCAAGACAAAGAGGGTTTGGAAGGGCAGATGTCCTAGTAGCCTGGAAAGAAAAGAGGTGGGTTAGGGATGGATGGAAACAGAGGTGGTGTTTATCGTTGCTATTTGTCAAAACCAAGAGGGACCATGCAGAAATCCCTGCCTACCTCCCACCTGGGCTGTGTAGCTTTGCCTCAGTCACAGGCCACAGGAAGGATCAAGCCACCCCTCAAGCCAAACTCACTGGTCCCCTTGTGTCCCCAAGGTAACCATGTATGAGAAATACACAGACCTTGACATTCTTCCCCCAATGGCTCCTGTCTCCCCACCATCATGCTGGTTTTAAAGGCGCTGAATCCAACCCAATCCATGGCCTACTGCACCCCTGCCCATGGCCCAGAACCCCATTTCTGCTCAGCCCAACACCATCAGACCCTGCTAGAGCAATGCTGTAGGAGTGCTGGTCTCCAGCTCTACCACAGCCATGTCCTGCCCTCTAGCGAGCAGCTGCTCCCTCACCCTCGCAATCCATAGTCAAAGGGAGGCCAGGAATGAGGGGCAGCACTATGCCTTCCTTTAACTGTCTACAGCCAAAAGAACATAAATCACACAGCACTGGAGTCCAGCAGCACAAGGAAGCAACACTCTGTCCTTTTTGCTGGACTGAAAGGTGCTGACAATGGAGTTGGCTGTTTCCCTCTCTTGCTTCTCAGGCACCAGGGCAAGAAGGCACAGGGCTGGAGTGTGGGCAGGGAAAGTAAGAATGAACAAATCCAGCACAGCAGAGAGCCAAGGAAGGGGGATGCAAGAGTTGTGGAGAACTTATGGGCAAGAGAAAGAGTTAGAACATGGGTTATGTTTTATAGGGAAGGTATAAGATAACCACCTCCACGTGCTGGGCTTATTTAGTTGTAGGTTTCCAACACTCTCCAGTGTCACCCAAGATGTACAGCAAGCCCTTGGCTCCTGGCCATCCTCACGTATGTGTGAACATGAAGGAACAGTAGTGACATGGCACCCGTGAAAGCTGTGCTCTCCTTGGCAGGCACAAAGCCAGCCTAGTGGCTCCCAGGTGATTTCCCTCTCCTTTACTCTCTCTTAATGGATGTCCCAATGTTATTGGCATTTATCTACAGCATGTTGGAGAAGAACAGAAGGCCACAGGGATGGTCCCATTGTTCACAGGAAAGAAAAGAGAAGGGGAAGTGAAACAGAGGGTGGAGAGTCCCACATCAGGAGGTAGGTGTCAATGGCCACAAACATCCCTTTGACTTGGAGCTCAAGGTAGTACAGGGGATGACACAGGATTGAGGTCACTAATGAGATGGCAGCATAAAATACACCCAGTGAAAGTATGGACAGGCAGGATAGGAGGCACAGAGGCAAACTGGGGCCTGAGGGAGTGGAAGGACCAAAACTGAGAGAGAATACAAGGCAACCAGAAAAGTCACATACAGCTGCAATTTTGGCCTGAAATTCTGACCTTGTCAGCCTTGTCTTCTTGGGGCCCCATGCACTGGAAAAACCACCTCTTAATTCTACCATTGCTTAAACGGTGCTAAGAGCCTCCCATTTGAAATGCATGCATTAAAAACTTGCCAAACACTCTTGACTCCTCTGGGGACACCCCGAAACCAGGCCAAAGCTCCTGCTGCTTTCTTAAGCTTCATGCTGCAGCTGAGCATCATCCCTCTTCCCAGCTCAGTGTGCTGCCTGCTCCTGGCAGGCCTCAGGGCACAAACACCATCTCCAAGGGACTCTCCTCCTCTTCTTGCCTTTAAGGTCCTTCCAGGATTCTCTAACTACTTTCTGAAAGAGGAGCCTTTCCCAGAGGTGCTTGGCACTCAAAATTCATGCTTTACTTGAAGGGACTCTCCCTGTCTGCTGGGTAGTTTCTGTAATTCACAGAGGTCTGAGCATCACTGTAGCCACCCTAAATCACCACCCAGAGATTGTTCTTGCTTTTGCATCTGGCTCTAGTGGAAGCACAGTGCCATGGGAGAAGCTTGCAGCACAGCTGTGGCACTTACAGGACAGTAGTCCCTTCCCTCTCAGCCCTGCATCTAGGGAATTATTGCAGGAGTTACCTTCAAGTCATGCAGCAAAGAACCTGTGACTGTGCCCACAGGTGCTCCAAAAGCTCTGACAGGTCTGGGACCAAGAGAAGAGATAGCAGGAAGCCTGATGGCCAGTGGTTTTGTGGCATGGAAGACATTTGTGCATGTACAAGAGAGAGAGAGAGAGAGAGAGAGAGAGAGAGAGAATGCCTTCTACTGTAGATTCTCTGATGTTCACCAAGCGTTGAGCTCCACAACACTCTTTCCTTTAATGGGCCTCAATGAAGGTTTCTTTCTCACATTCTCTCTTCTCTAATTTATACCCTATCTTCATGGAACACATTGTAGGAATTTTTAAAATTTGAAGCTTTTAAGAAAGTTATAAAA